TTAGACGAGAGGGACAGGTAGTCTAAGAAGAAGGGTTTTTGCAGCCGATCTAAAGTGGGTTGTGTAGGAAATATCTGTGTGCTGTAGGTGTAAATAAACAGCATGTAGTTTTAGCAGACGGAAGGGAGCTATGATTGATATTCTAAATAAAAAATAACTCGAATCGGCCTCTGAACGGCTTTTCATGTATGGAAAACAGCCTTGAAGATCTCTGGAAGGTCTTCTCTGTATAGTGGGAAGGTATTCTAAGTACAGAAGATCCCTTGGAAGGTCTTTCATAATTCATTTCTTATATATATGAATGTTAAGATATTCCAAATTCTACTTACTTTGTTTGATTCAAATACTCGTCGATATCTTCATCGGTTTTCGTTTGATCTCCAATATAAGGATTATCGGCAATAAATTTATTCCGTTTCAAAATCACAGCAATATCCAACTCCGTTTCTTCATCCAGGCCACAGCCAAGATATTTCACATCCCTAATTTTCTGATATCATCAACTGATCCGCAGCTTTTTGGCTAAGGGGAATAGCTGTAATATCCAAAGAAATTAAAACCGGATGTTCCCTCAATAATTCATGGGCCACACAACAAATAAACCCATCGTCTGTTAAATAAGTCACACCCTTTAAATTCAACGAAGAGATATGTGAGGTATCGACAATATTGGAAATCAAGGCATGCAGAGCCACATCCGTTATGGGATTTCGTGCTAAACCCAAATATTCTAAAGTTCCTTGGCTGTAGTGGTTTATAGATTCTCCCAATGTCCTTAGCGTTTCTTCACACAATTGATTCGATTCCAATTCTAAATTTCGCAAACTTGTGGTATTTTCGAAGAGCTCATACAGAGCATTGCCACAATCATCCATTAGCTGATCACAGCCAAAGTCCACCGTTTCCAAGTGGGGTAAATCTTTTAAGCCTCGTATCAGGGTTAAAAGTTTTTCGGAATCCATTCGGCTGTTGCGCAAACGAAATATTTTTAATGGAGATAGGAATGATATGCCACTAGAAAATAAACAAATTCAGAAATTTTTTTTTTTGTTTATAAGTTCCGCACTTACTGAGCCAACCTCTTGATATCATCATGGGAAAAATTGAAATGCCTGTGATGATATTGTCTACCCTGAAGAGGCCCCAAAAACTCGATGGTAAACTCTGTTAAACTCTTCAAATGTTGTACAAAACTAAGATCTATGTGATGACAATGTTCCGGTGGATAGCTGTAGCCTCGAAGATGATTTAAATAGAGCTCCAAATTTCGACGATCCAAAATATACTTCTCCCCATCATCTTCACTTTCGGAAATTTCTATCTCAAAGACACTATTCGGTTGTTTCTTTTTCTTCTTTTTAGGTTTCTCTGGAGGTTGTTCCTTCTCAAGGCGTCTCGCTTCACGTTTTGCCCGACGTTCTTCTCTCTCCCGACGAGCATTGGCTTTATCTTGTCGAAGAATTTGTCGTGCCATTTTACGTTTGGCTTTTTCTTCGGCCAAGTGTTCAGCCAAAGCTATTTGGGATTCTGTCTTAAAGGAGAATAACTCATTTGCGGCTTCCGCCTCGTCCTCCTCTTCTTCTGAGGTGGGAACAGTTGAATCAGTAACCTCTTCGTTAGTCTCATCATCTTCTTCTGACGAAGTATCGACTTGCGGTCGATAATATTTCTCAAAAGACCTTTCCATCAAAGACTGTAAACGTTTAATGTGGAGTTTGTGGACAAATTCCTGAATCATCTGTAATAACTCCCTCATTTCCTCCTCCGGCCAATATTCTGCAGGACAAGCTTCCACCATTTCCTGTAGTTTCAAGGAAACTCCTACATTTTTCCAATTCACATGGGGCTGTAGCGCCAAACTCTTATCCGGATGTTTACTCAAGACCACTCTCTTCCAAAACCTCTCATTAGTGATGTGATAGCATTGTTTTAAGGGCAGATTCACATCCAACGCATCATAATGTACCGTTATTTTCAAAGGATCTTCAGCAATTATGGGTAGAGGATCAGGACCATATGCCCTAGCCAAAGAACGTACCGCAAGGTCTGCCAATGTTCCCAAATTGTATTTTTCAATAAACAGTTCGGGATAGGTGCTGCGATGCCTTTCAAATTTCTTAACCTTCTCCGATGGTCGATAGACTTCGTGGACCAATTGTAATTGATGCTCATTGGGAAAGGCAAATGTATTAACATGGATTGGTATTGAAAATTCTTCCAAGGAGGTTTGTTCTTCCATATTTTTATTTTTTATTTTTTGGTTTGAAAAATAGTCAGTTTTTGATTTGTAGATACAGTAGATCCTTCGTAAATCATAATAAATAGGAAGCTATATAGAATCCCTCCAGCACATCTGTAAAGACTCCCAGGCCTTATTTTCATGGGTGTGCTATTTCCAAATTACCTATCTTCTAGTGGTGTATACTTTTTACCGCAATTGAGGCAATATTTTTTACCGAAAAGCTTTTAATCGTAATTCGAATTTACAAAAATTTGCCGAATTTGGAAAATGTGGATTTTGGCAATGGCCAGTTAATCGATGATTTTGATAATGCATTTTCTGAATTCTTCGAAAATACCACAAGTTTGTGATGTCTAGAATTGGAATCCAATCAATTAGGTGAAGAAACGCAAATGACCTTGGGAGAATCTAAAAAACCACTACACCCAACGACTTTTAGAATATTTGAGTTTAACACGAAATCCCATAACCGATGTGGCCCTGATCTGCCTTGATTTCCAATGTTTTGGGAACTTCCCACATCTCTTCGTTGAATTTAAAGGGTGTGGCTTATTTAACTGAAGTGGGATTTATTTGTTGTGTGACCCATGAATTATTGAGGGAACATTCGGTTTTAATTCCCTTGGATATTACTGCTCTTTCCATTAGCCATAAAACTGCAGATCAATTAATAATATCGTTGAATTTAATTCAACATATTATGGATGTGAACTTACTTGGTTGTGGCATGGATGAGAAAACGGAGCTGGGACATTGCTGTGATTTTGAAACGGAATAAATCTTTTGCCCATAGCCCATATATTAGAGATCAAACGAAAACCGATGAAGATATTGACGAGTGTTTGCATCAAACAAAGTTAGTAAAATTTGGAATATTTTCAAACTTATATATAAAAAATGTATTATGAAGACCTTTAATGGCGCCTTTTCTACTTAGAATACCTTCCAGAGGTCCTCAAGGACATTTTTCATGTTTTCCATACATGAAAATCCTATCAGAGGACGTTTATATATAAGAGACCGCACCCAGTTTTTTTTTTTAAATATAGAAGACCTATCTTTACCTCTTTTATAATGTATAACCTAGCATAACATTTATCATATGCCTTCTGTATAAAGAAGAACTTTTTCGTCTGCAAAAAATACATCCCACTTCTCTAAAACGCATAAAGAATCCCTCTCAAATATAACGATACCCTGAATTCCAGTTCGATCCAACCGCCTTCAAAGATGTCCTACACCACACAATGACTACAAATACTACTCCGTTCAAAGTCCATAAAGAAATAAAGACTCATTGGCTTTATTACACCTGTAAACAGTCCCGAGATTCAACTTCAACTCATCTATACAGATATATTGGGGTTCAGGATTTCAAAAAAACACATGACCTCGTCTATAAACCCTCCTTATTGATTCTCTTATAAAGGCTTCCTAACATGTAGCACTTCTATAAAGACTCCCTCCAGCTCGACTAAAATGATCCCCTGTTAAACTTGTCTAAAAAGACTCCCAGCTTTAGCAGGTCTATAAAGAACATCCATCTCCATCTCCATCCAGCTCTTCTATAAAGAAGACTTACTAACATGTAACACTTCTTAAAGACGCCCTCCAGCTCATCTGAAATGACTCCCAGCTTTAGCTCATTTATAAAGACCCTCCGAGTCCATCGTCTATAAAGAAACCCTTCCATCTTGTCCATGAAAACCTTCAGCTCTTCAATAAAGAATCCCTGCTTCAGCTGTCTATAAAGACTCCCTGCTTCAGCTCGTCTATAAAGACTCCCTGCTTCAGCTCGTCTATAAATACTCCCTGCTTCAGCTCGTCTATAAATACTCCCTGCTTCAGCTCGTCTAAAAAGACTCCCTGCTTCAGCTCGTCTACAAAGACTCCCTGCTTCAGCTCGTCTATAAAGACTCCCTGCTTCAGCTCGTCTATAAAGACTCCCTGCTTCAGCTCGTCTATAAATACTCCCTGCTTCAGCTCGTCTATAAATACTCCCTGCTTCAGCTCGTCTAAAAAGACTCCCTGCTTCAGCTCGTCTAAAAAGACTCCCTGCTTCAGCTCGTCTACAAAGACTCCCTGCTTCAGCTCGTCTATAAAGACTCCCTGCTGCAGCTCGTCCCTAAAGACTCCCTGCTTCAGCTAGCCTATAAAGACTCCCTGCTTCAGCTCGTCCCTAAAGACTCCCTGCTTCAGCTCGTCTATAAAGACTCCCTGCTTCAGCTCGTCTATAAAGACTCCCTGCTTCAGCTCGTCTATAAAGACTCCCTGCTTCAGCTCTTCAATAAAGAATCCCTGCTTCAGCTGTCTATAAAGACTCCCTGCTTCAGCTCGTCTATAAAGACTCCCTGCTTCAGCTCGTCTATAAATACTCCCTGCTTCAGCTCGTCTATAAATACTCCCTGCTTCAGCTCGTCTAAAAAGACTCCCTGCTTCAGCTCGTCTACAAAGACTCCCTGCTTCAGCTCGTCTATAAAGACTCCCTGCTTCAGCTCGTCTATAAAGACTCCCTGCTTCAGCTCGTCTATAAATACTCCCTGCTTCAGCTCGTCTATAAATACTCCCTGCTTCAGCTCGTCTAAAAAGACTCCCTGCTTCAGCTCGTCTACAAAGACTCCCTGCTTCAGCTCGTCTATAAAGACTCCCTGCTGCAGCTCGTCCCTAAAGACTCCCTGCTTCAGCTAGTCTATAAAGACTCCCTGCTTCAGCTCGTCCCTAAAGACTCCCTGCTTCAGCTCGTCTATAAAGACTCCCTGCTTCAGCTCGTCTATAAAGACTCCCTGCTTCAGCTCGTCTATAAAGACTCCCTGCTTCAGCTCGTCTATAAAGACTCCCTGCTTCAGCTCGTCTATAAAGACTCCCTGCTTCAGCTCGTCTATAAAGACTCCCTGCTTCAGCTCGTCTATAAAGACTCCCTGCTTCAGCTCGTCTATAAAGACTCCCTGCTTCAGCTCGTCTATAAAGACTCCCTGCTGCAGCTCGTCTATAAAGACTCCCTGTTTCAGCTCGTCTAAAAGGCTTCGTGCTTCAGCTCGTCTTTAAAGACTCCCTGCTTCAGCTCGTCTATAAAGAGTCCCTGCTTCAGCTCGTCTATAAACACATCCTCCTTCAGCTCGTCTATACAGACTCCCTGCTTCAACTCGTCTATAAAGACTCCCTGCTTCAGCTCGTCTATAAAGACTCCCTGTTTCAGCTCGTCTATAAAGACTCCCTGCTTCTGCTCGTCTATAAAGACTCCCTGCTTCTGCTCGTCTATAAAGACTTCCTGCTTCAGCTCGTCTATAAAGACTCTCTGCTTCAGCTCGTCTATAAAGACTCTCTGCTTCAGCTCGTCTCTAAAGACTCCCTGCTTCAGCTCGTCTATAAAGACTCCCTGCTTCAGCTCGTCTATAAAGACTCCCTTCAGTTCGCCTATATCTATAAAGACTCTCAGCTTCAGCTCGTCTATAAAGACTCCCAGCTTCAGCTCGTCTATAAAGACTCCCAGCTTCAGCTCGTCTATAAAGACTCCCTGCTTCAGCTCGTCTATAAAGACTCCCTGCTTCAGCTCGTCTATAAAGACTCCCTGCTTCAGCTCGTCTATAAAGACTCTCTGCTTGTCTATAAATACTCCCTTCAGTTCGTCTATAAAGACTCCCTCCAGCTTGTCAATAAGGAAAACTTCATTATTTGTAATTCTGCTCATAAATGTTATAAAATGTATATTTTATTTTTGTAATATATATTTCTTAAAAGAAAACATAAAAAACCTTATATAACTAAAATCGTAATTTCTTAATATATTGCACAGATACCTCTGGCAAATGGATGCATATGAAAAATACCATTGGTCCGAATATTATGAAAAATAGAAACCAAAAATAAATGCAAAATATTGTAAGGGCATCCATTCGTCGTTTGAGCCTCGGTAGAACTGCAACGATGATGATCTCAGCTAACGAACAAATGAATGATGTAATTTTTACTTAAATTTATAATATCACTTGAACTGATGATGACGATGATGGTGTCATAAATGTTTAATATTAAACATTTGTTAATTTTTTGTTTGTGGTATAATTAAAATAATATTTGTTAATAAAAAATAAAAAGAAGAAAAAAAAATAATACAGGTAACTTTTGTTGAAGATGTTAAGAAAATAATAAAGAATTTCAAATGAAATTCATTGATAATATTTGATATAAAAAATAATAGAGAATATAAAATATAATTATGCAGCTGACAAACTTCTCAGCTATTGTATGGATAGGGTGATTTACAAGATGCCTAAGAATGCCATCTGAAATGAGAAAAACAAATATTTTTTAATTAATTTTTAATGATAAAAAAAAATAATTTCAAATTATTATAGTATCTTTAATGCTAGGAAAATAGTGATAGAAAATTCTATAGATTTAATTCACAAATATTCTTTAACAACTTTGCCGCCTAAAAGTATGCACTATAATATTTATTTCTCATATAATACATTGGCACACAACTAATAGATGACGCTCGTCATTATAAATAGAATATGTACTATTATTTGCATACTATTCTTATTCCATATATAAGAGTTCATAAGTCCCAGACCTGACACGACAATACTTCGTTAGTATCGATAATGTTGGTGGTGGATATTAACTGCGTAACACCCTGGATGGGAGCTAGGTTAAAAAACGATTTTTGGCAAAAAAAAATGTGGAACATCAGGGAGGTGGGTCAAAGGCCAATATTTCGAATTATTTTAAGGTATATTAATATCAGGAGTTGTTTGCACATTTATTTTCCAAAGAAATTCTCCTTCGTCTGGGAAGCATAGATTTAACATTGCCTTCAAATCGCCAATTCACTCATATGAAGAAATGATATCCTAAATAGTTTGTTCGTAAAATAACATACAAGTTCAGTATTCCAAATTTAGTCGAGCCCCTCATCAGCAAAAAAAACACACACACATTTCAAATGTTAGCATAAAAAATGATAACAAAGAATGGGAAGTTTAGAGATAACTGAAATTACGATTTTGCGGACTAATGGCCTACTGACGTCAGTATAATTGGCATACCGATTACTTCTATTATCAAACGATCCGATTTTCACAAAATTTAATTTAAAAAATAATTCATAGAGGATATCGGTTTTCCAAATGAATATCTGGCTCTCTTCTTTTAAACTATGCTTTAAAGTCTGACCTTCAACTTGATCCTTTATTTTCATGATCTTCAGTTTGTCTCTAGAAATTTCCCCTGTGTATCTGTGGTCTATAAAAACTCCCTTCAGCTCGTCTATAAAGACTCCCTGCTTCAGCTCGTCTATAAAGACTCCCTGCTTCAGCTCGTCTATAAAGACTCCCTGCTTCAGCTCGTCTATAAAGACTCCCTGCTTCAGCTCGTCTATAAAGACTCCCTGCTTCAGCTCGTCTATAAAGACTCCCTGCTTCAGCTCGTCTATAAAGACTCCCTGCTTCAGCTCGTCTATAAAGACTCCCTGCTTCAGCTCATCTATAAATACTACCTGCTTCAGCTCGTCTATAAAGACTACCTGCTTCAGCTCGTCTATAAAGACTCCCTGCTGCAGCTCGTCTATAAAGACTCCCTGCTGCAGCTCGTCTATAAAGACTCCCTGCTGCAGCTCGTCGATAAAAACTCCCTGCTGCAGCTCGTCTATAAAGACTCCCTGCTTCAGCTCGTCTATAAAGACTCCCTGCTTCAGCTCGTCTATAAAGACTCCCTGCTTCAGCTCGTCTATAAAGACTCCCTGCTGCAGCTCGTCTATAAAGACTCCCTGCTGCAGCTCGTCGATAAAAACTCCCTGCTGCAGCTCGTCTATAAAGACTCCCTGCTTCAGCTCGTCGATAAAGACTCCCTGCTTCAGCTCGTCGATAAAGACTCCCTGCTTCAGCTCGTCTATAAAGACTCCCTGCTTCAGCTCGTCTATAAAGACTCCCTGCTTCAGCTCGTCTATAAAGACTCCCTGCTTCAGCTCGTCTATAAAGACTCCCTGCTTCAGCTCGTCTATAAAGACTCCCTGCTTCAGCTCGTCTATAAAGACTCCCTGCTTCAGCTCGTCTATAAAGACTCCCTGCTTCAGCTCGTCTACAAAGACTCCCTGCTTCACCTCATCTATAAAGACTACCTGCTTCAGCTCGTCTATAAAGACTACCTGCTTCAGCTCGTCTATAAAGACTCCCTGCTGCAGCTCGTCTATAAAGACTCCCTGCTGCAGCTCGTCTATAAAGACTCCCTCCTGCAGCTCGTCTATAAAGACTCCCTGCTGCAGCTCGTCTATAAAGACTCCCTGCTGCAGCTCGTCGATAAAAACTCCCTGCTGCAGCTCGTCTATAAAGACTCCCTGCTTCAGCTCGTCGATAAAGACTCCCTGCTTCAGCTCGTCTATAAAGACTCCCTGCTTCAGCTCGTCTATAAAGACTCCCTGCTTCAGCTCGTCTATAAAGACTCCCTGCTTCAGCTCGTCTATAAAGACTCCCTGCTGCAGCTCGTCTATAAAGACTCCCTGCTGCAGCTCGTCTATAAAGACTCCCTGCTGCAGCTCGTCTATAAAGACTCCCTGCTGCAGCTCGTCTATAAAGACTCCCTGCTGCAGCTCGTCTATAAAGACTCCCTGCTTCAGCTCGTCTATAAAGACTCCCTGCTTCAGCTCGTCTATAAAGACTCCCTGCTTTAGCTCATCTATAAAGACTCCCTGCTTCAGCTCGTCTATAAAGACTCCCAGCTTCAGCTCGTCTATAAAGACTCCCTGCTTCAGCTCGTCTATAAAGACTCCCTTCAGCTTGTCTATAAAGACGCCCTTCAGCTTGTCCATAAAGACTCCCTGCTTCAGCTCGTCTATAAAGACTCCCTGCTTCAGCTCGTCTATAAAGACTCCCTGCTTCAGCTCGTCTATAAAGACTCCCTGCTTCAGCTCGTCTATAAAGACTCCCTGCTTCAGCTCGTCTATAAAGACTCCCTGCTTCAGCTCGTCTATAAAGACTCCCTGCTTCAGCTCGTCTATAAAGACTCCCTGCTTCAGCTCGTCTATAAAGACTCCCTGCTTCAGCTCGTCTATAAAGACTCCCTGCTTCAGCTCGTCTATAAAGACTCCCTGCTTCAGCTCGTCTATAAAGACTCCCTGCTTCAGCTCGTCTATAAAGACTCCCTGCTTCAGCTCGTCTATAAAGACTCCCTGCTTCAGCTCGTCTATAAAGACTCCCTGCTTCAGCTCGTCTATAAAGACTCCCTACTTCAGCTCGTCTATAAAGACTCCCTACTTCAGCTCGTCTATAAAGACTCCCTGCTTCAGCTCGTCTATAAAGACTCCCTGCTTCAGCTCGTCTATAAAGACTCCCTGCTTCAGCTCGTCTATAAAGGCTCCCTGCTTCAGCTCGTCTATAAAGACTCCCTTCGGCTCGTCTATAAAGACTCCCTTCGGCTCTTCTATAAAGACTCCCTGTTTCAGCTCGTCTATAAAGGCTCCCTGCTTCAGCTCGTCTATAAAGACTCCCTTCGGCTCGTCTATAAAGACTCCCTTCAGCTCGTCTATAAAGACTCCCTACTTCAGCTCGTTTATAAAGACTCCCTACTTCAGCTCGTCTATAAAGATTCCTTTCAGCTGGTTTAAACAGAATTATCCGAATTTGCCCGTAAAACCGATATTTCAACATGACACAATTATGGCCGATTAAAATCACCCTGTAAAGCCATACGGGCGAGGATATCAAAAAACTCCAATTTTCTTTAATAATTTGCCATTAAAATAATTATTTATTTTTTTTATTAAATAATTACATACCCACAGATTCGATTTCACGATTGTTTCGCCTATATTTACTTATTTGTTTCGTTCTGCGTTTTTTTTTTTTTTTTGTGTTTTCAGTCTCAGTTCAGAGATATCGACGTCTTTTGGCTGTTCTATTCAATTTGGTACTAAATTGATGTTTGGCCACCGCACAACAAAAACAAACAACAATGACTTTGTTTATACGCTTGTACGCTGCGTTGTTATTGTTGTTATTATCATTGTTGTTGTTCTTGTTGGTGGTGTTGTTGTTGCTGTTGGTAGTACGTACGAACGTAAATACCAACACCAATTTTTTGCCATGTTTTCACCATTTTTGGCTGGGGATTTTAATGGTCTTAATCATTCGATCATTCACACACATATCTGCATATGTTACGTAGTATATACGAAGTTCTCAGATATGAAGCCCCACCAATCCGCCTCCTCATGCAATTAGCCAGCTTGTACATATTTGTATTATTGTACTAAGTGTTTTAATGTGTACGGCAGAAACAACAACAACAACAAAAGCAAGAATAATGCAATTAATACAGTGGTTAGAGTTTCTGGTTTGGGAAAGGATTTATGTACGAGGGCTACTACATACATTTTTGGTCTCGGCATCAATTCACGACAAGTGGGCATCGATGAAGGCAAATCGTAATAATGTGATAATGTGATAATGTGCACATCCATAATTTGACACTTCGCTCCCAAAAAAGGTCGTGTTGATTGGTACGGATTCTTCCAAATTGGCAATAATTTGTTATTTTGAAATCTCCGTATTTAAAATTCTCAATATCAGTCTACTCTTAGATGTAGACCCCGATTTTGTCACTTATATAATTAAAATGTTTGAAATATTTTAGGTTCTCATTAGGTTGATCCACTATTTGGGAGGCTATATCCCGAATTTTGAGGAATTTGGGCACGTGTTTCAACCCAATTGGCTGTATATTTTTTTATTTTGGATTCTCATTGAAAATAGAAAATATCTCTACCAAAAATTATTCATATCCAACCCAATTTCCGGATATTTCCGATATAGTGGTAACTACCAATTTCTGGTATTTTTGGGAGCTTGAGCACATTTTTCAATCGTATTGGCTCTAATATAATTTTCAGATTCTCATGGGGCGTTAAATTATCCTATCAAAAATT